ACACCGTTTTTGTATCACTATAAGTAAAACGTCCGGACTAATGACCTTACACCGTATTCGTATCACTACAAGTAAAACGTCCGGCCTAATGACATTAAACTGTATTCGTATCACTACAAGTAAAGCGTCCGGATTAATATCATTACACTTATTCGTATCACTACAAGTAAAACGTCCGGACTAATGACATTACACCGTATTCGTATCACTACAAATAAAACGTCCGGACTAACTACATTACACCGTATTCGTATCACTACAAGTAAAACGTCCGGACTAATGACATTAAACTGTATTCGTATCACTACAAGTAAAGCGTCCGGATTAATATCATTACACTTATTCGTATCACTACAAGTAAAACGTCCGGACTAATGACATTACACCGTATGCGTATCACTACAAGTAAAACGTCCAGACTTGTAGTGTTAAAATTAATACATCAGGAGAAACATATAAAAACACACCATCAAAATCGGGACGAATGGTTTCACACACAACACAATTAGAAAGTGATAAAGAACTACACTACGACGTAGACGTAGTTGAATATTTTTTTTGTTAATTGATTAACGGCCTAACAACGAAAAAAATCATTTCGGGCCTGACAATAGATTTGGTTTGGTTCAATTTTGTTAAACGTCCTATTAACAGAAAAGGTAATTTAAAGACTTGCCTCCATGTGTGTAGTGTTTGCGTGCTTGCGTGTGTTTATGCAGGAGACAGGGTATGTTGTTGTGCTTGCCTCCTTGTGATAGCGCGGATCTGAAGCCCACGTTATAGTGCTATCTCGCTGAAATACCATGCCGAAGGCACCCAGTACAGCATTCCGCCCGGTCAACATTAAACTGACAACGGGAGAACCAGTTGTTGCCATTCTCCTTAATGCTGAACATTAAGCAGGGAATAACAAATACCATTTTTAAGGACTTTGGTATGTCCCGGCCTTGGGACAGAACCTATTACCTTCCTCACCTGGGCGAACGGTCAACATTTAGACCAAAAGTGAGGTGTTGCCGAGCAAGGCGCTAGGAAATAAAATGTAGTTAGACGAAGAAAGAAAGATAAAGATCCCAAACATTGCAATGGGCGCAGCAGATTTATTTTGGTCGCTTTTGTGTCACCAACGCAAATCCACAATTCTGCAGGGGTTCCCGCATAAGTCGCCTCCTACGATACATGCAGTGGGTAACAGCAGGTGTATTTTATTTCCCGATCCCCCACCTGCAGGGGTGGGCCTGACAATATTAATAAGAAAAAATTACAAAACTTAATACACTAATAGAAAACTGAATGGTAAATGTTTACTTCTGTATACAGAGAAATGGTCAGAACATTATTGTAACAATTGTTTTCTGCATTCACATTTATGATATAGGCCAACTTTCACGTAGGTATTCTTAATTCTGTGACAAATTAATTGTATAGAAAATGTTTTCATATCAGGCATATCATAATATTTGTTTCGAATCAACGGCTTTGGTTTAGTTTAGTTTGGTTTAGTATTGTTTAACGTCCTATCAACAGCTATGGTCATTTAATTAAGGACGGCCTCCCCTGTGTGCAAGATGCATGCGTGCAGTGTACGTGTGTGTGTTTTGGGAAGCTGCGATATGTTTGTGTTTGTCTCCTTGTGATAGCGCGGAACTGATGCCGACTTTATAGTGCTACCTCATTGAAACATATACTGCCGAAGACACCCAGCAGGACACCCCACCAGGTCACATTAGACTGACAACGGGCAAACCAGTCGTCCCACTCCTAAATTGCTGAGCGTTAAGCAGGAGTAGAGACTACTATTTTTACAGGCTCTGGTATGTCTCGGCCAGGGGACAGAACCCAAAGCCTTCCTCACAGGGGCGAACGCTCAACTAAAGGCCAAACGTGAGGCATTATCAAGGGAGACATTAGAAAGAAGAAAGTTGTTTAGAAAGAATAGAAAAGATTAGATCCCAACTTTAGTCGCCTCTCACGATCATGCAATTGGGGCAGCAGGTACAATTCTTACTCCCTACATGCAGGGACACGTAAATGGCAAAAGGGATGATACTCTCTCCGAAACAAGGACACATGAGTATAATATGTATGCCCTGTGCTAAGTCGTGAGAAGACGACCTTCTCTTTGCAACGCAGTCTCCGATTCTCTAATGGAGAGTTTTGAATCAACAGTGCGTTGCCAGTTATGTTTGGTGAAACTGGCATCATCAGAGTAGGGTGTTGTTCGATTGTTTGTTATTCACCGTACATCCGATTTCGACGTAATTACAACACTGGCAATTAGATGATGAATATAATTTTCATTTTTTGCAAATATTTTGAACACGTTTATAGTTTCCTTATATATACAGGTTTTGAGTAACAGGTGTTCTATCGCGGTACAGTCAGGGTCATGTAAAGATGGGTGCCTAATTAGAAGGTGACGTCACTTGAAAGGGATAGCTAGGGAAGAAAGTGAAGGTAGCAAAGAAAGAATAGGTAGGAAATATAAGGTAAAACATAATTTGATTGATTATCGGCATTTAGCTGGCTCTCAGTGATTGGTCAAGTTGATTTAAATATTATGACAAAATGCTACAATAAAATGCTTTATCGATTTATTCATCGTGGGTACATTTGAAATGACCATCTAAAGAAACTGATTTTTTCGGTCAAAGCAGAGACGTATTTATTACATATATATGTAAGGGTCAAAGAAGTAATATAGACGGTACATTTTATTGTAGCATTTTGTCATAATATTTAAATCAACTTGACCAATCACTGAGAGCCAGCTAAATGCCGATAATCAATCAAATTATGTTTTACCTATATTTTCAATTATAGTATATCAATTCTATCTTCTTGTAATATGATGTATATGGACATGTAACTGTTCTGTTTCAGTGTGTCTTGAAAAAGCAGCGGATCGCTCCGAAAATTTGACAACCTAAACTTGTCCACACTGTTGGAATTACTTCTTTGCCCCTTTACATATATATGTAATATATACGTCTCTGGTCAAAGCCAATGTGTTGGAGAGTATATGTACATCTGCAATATTGAAATAGTAAATGCATTTTCACCTTTTTCAATCTTAACTATTGGGTTTTTTAAAAAGGACACGATATTGATTGTTTGAGCGGCACTTGACCCTAAATAACATGAAGCTAGCCACATCTTTTTATCATCCGTCCACAACCATTTGATACACTACACTGGACTGCGACAGGACCGGGTATTCCCACCGTATCGCCAACCCCACGTTGTTATCATACAAACAAAAACAATGATAAAACAACTTCAAACTTGTCGAATTGCTTGGCAACATCACATATTGCGCAGAAGCATTAGTACAAAATGACAACCTTAAATAGACGATAATGGTGGAAGGGGAGTTTCTAATGGCATTGAGATAGGAGGTCCGTGAGAGGGCGACACTGTGTCGACATCAATTTACCGCGTTCTCACTTAACATTCCCGTATCAGGTACACACGAAAGATAGCTTCCGGTCTCGCGAGATTCTACGATAGCGAGGTATAAATACGACCACCCGACTGATTAAGTGCCCATTGACACGGTAATTGTGACCCAGAGAAAGGACATCAGACCGTCAAAACACAGTTTTCGGTAAGTATCTCGTTTTATAAAAAATACTTTATGCTTCTCTGCAAAGGTTTTAGATTACTAAATTATAAAAATGAAGAAAACGCTGCAAAATTCAATATTATCCTAAATGAATTAAAAACAATTTTATTTTAAAGAAACAAATCCTCTCATAAAATCTAAAATGAACAATTCAAAAGGAAAATGAACAGTCAAACTATCCTGTGTAGAAGAATGTTATTTATACTGACTAAAGAGAAGACAAAATATCAATATTTTATGACAACAGTGTATGTATAGATTGTATAGAATATTTTTAGTAACATTTCTATAATTCCTTCTGTCGCGCTATCTCTAATACGCTAATTCAAGCGCTGCGCTTAAAATAGAAAATGGAATGTGTTTGGACATAAATGTGTTGTATGCATTGTGCTATCACCAATGCATGTCATTGTCAGTCCTTTAAAGTAAACTTTGCGCTATAAATATTATTGCCAAATTGTTGACGTCATTATTACTTCCTTAGCATCATTATGATATCATGATATCAGAATTAAATCGTTGGATGTAGAAAAAAATTAACGGCTATAACATTATAATTTAATCTTGCTTGTAACAAGCATTTTCATTGGCTTAACAATTTATGTTATCAACCCATAACGTTAAAAAATGACGTCGCCATTTGAAACGTCGCTTTTGATTGGCTAATACAACGGCGTAATAATTTCTAAGAGAAAAGAGTCCATCAATAAAAGTGGATTTCCACAGGGATTGTGTATGGTAGATTAAATTATAAGGATTGTCTTGAATATATTTTTTATGTTATGTAGCTATAACACAAAAAACCGGAGTGTACTCTCATCATAAACCGCTTCGCGTTTTATTTAGAGTACACTCCGTTTTTTTGTGTTATATCTCCATAACATAAAAAATATATTCAAGTTAATCCTTAAATATTTAAAATTCGTCACTACATTTAGTTTTCAAAAAGATCAAATATAAATAAATGTTCAAATTTGTCTCTGCATTGCTTCTGTATAAACCAGCCTAAGTCATGATCAGTTATGATCATAAGTTAAGATCATAAACTTACCTCTCGAGTTATGATATTGATGTCACAACAAGTGTGACGTCATAATCATCGATGTCATTTTTGGAGATTACTGGCCGGTGTTGTTATATTTTATAAAACACTTCCTCAAATTTAAAGAACAAATATTGATTTCTAATATTAATTTCAATGGACATTATGGGTGAAATTCTTTTACAATGTGCCATAACTCTGAAAAGGACTCCAGACACATGATCATAACGTGCTAACGCACTTTAATTGATTTTGTGTGTAATCCTGTGCTAACATTATCTAGACGAGTTATTCCAAATAAATTATAACATTGGACACACATTAACACAGTATTCTTTTTTTAAAGACTTTCCTTTTACATACAGTTTTAAGCAAGTCTTTCAGTTATTCATTTTGTTCCAGTCATGCGGTCCTATCAGTTTACCTTGACCTTTGTGTTGGGATTGACCAATGCGGTACTGCTGTCGTTCTGCGGTTCTTGTGAAATAAATGGCTGCTTCTGTTCCCAAGAATACTTGGGATGTCATAACTTGACGACATTTCCGGTTCAGTTGCCCAAAAATTTGGAGGACTTGCATTTCCATGATGTCACTTTTGACAGAATACCAACAGATGCTTTTCGTGGGCTGACTAACTTAAAGACATTCAAGATATACCGAGGCTCAGTGGGAACGATAGAGAGGGCATCCTTCAGTGGGTTTAACAACTTGCAAACAGTCTTCTTTGATGATGTATCGATAGGAGAGATTCAGGACCACGCCTTCAGTGATCTCCATAACCTGTCCTTGACATTCCAGTCGTCGTCCATACGTACCATACGATCTAATGCCTTTAAGAACATCCGGAATGCGCAAGCATTTGTGTTTGCCAATCTGACGATCGAGCGGATAGAAACTCATGCTTTTGAAAATATCTCCGATGTTGAGATGATTTTGTTCCGTATGAGTAACATAACATCCATGGCCTCTCGATGCTTCCATAACTTCTATAGGATAGGCTCGTTTGGGTTTCACGCCAATAATGTTGATGATCTCGCGTGTGGCAATATCGATAGTGTCATCCCGGCTGTGACAAATCCAATACAGGTGTACTTTTTCAAAAACACGATATCTTGTAACTGTGACCTGGCCTGGATAATAAACAACCCTGCTTTGACCAATGTTTTGTCGTTTTCTAACCTCTGTATTATTCCTGGCACAAATGGACATGTCAAGATTAGTTTAGAAGACTTTACACTTCCGGTAATGAACTGTACGCGACAGGACGCCATTTGCCCCGATGATGAATTGTCATCAACAACGGAAGTGACGACACATACCAAACAAACGTCACCTTCGCCTGCCGTGACCTCAACTCATATGTATAACGTCACAGAAGCAACCGATATGGCGTCTTCAGAGTCTACATCAACAATTTTGTTGTCCTCGGATAGTTTTTTGAGTAAATCAGAAAATGTGATCGTTTCTACAGCTTCAGTAAGAGGGGAAACTGATTACATGACAGCAAGTACGGCAACATCTAGTAAGTCAACTAAAACCACAATGGAACCTTCTGAATACATCCGGAACACACCTTCGTCACAGAGCGGAACTGACCTTTTATCCACGAACCCCGTTACCACACTTAAATCAATCACGAGTACTCTCCCAAGCACGAGTACCACAGTGCCATCTTCCGTAGTCATGGAAACAACACAAGCCGTACATTCGGTGTCAAGAGCGTCGGCGATGCAACATCAGACGACATCGAGTACAAAAGGTTCTCAACATGGAGGGGCCAGTGGCGCCACCTCTGTCACGTGGGCCGTACTGAACTTGACGTTAAATATCTTAACATGCTTTCTTGTTGTGAGGACAACAAAATACATTTCAACTTGAAAATTGGTTCTCGGGACATTAAATGAAAGGAATTTCACATTTTGAATATCGGATTAAAAAGTATTAATGATGACTAAAGAAATGGGCTTACCGTCCCAGTATCCTCTACTGGACTCGAACCTCTCTCTCGTCCAATGGCGAGAGGCTTTGGTAATGCTGTATATATAGCTCTTATTAGCGCACCACATTAGATTGGGAAATGCCGCATAAGCAGTCCATGCATTTTATGTGTCATATTATTTTTCCAAAATTGTTCATGATTTATAAGACATAATAGGCATATAAAAACAAGCTTTATCATTTTCATACTCCCTTACACACACTCATCATCATCATCATCATCATCATCATCATCATCAAAATCATCATCATCATCATCATCATCATCATCATCATCATCATCATCATCATCATCATCATCATCATCATCATCATCATCATCATCGTCGTCGTCGTCATCATCATCATCATCATGATGCACAATCAATATTGTCGGTTAAGGCAATATCACCAATGGCACAATCTGAATCATCATTAACATATTTAATATAAGCATAAGGACATATGACCATCGTCATTTACACAACGGACATCAGCACAACTAAACAACACCATCAATTATTTCTTCCGTACAATCGGAATCTTTGCACAGATAACGTCATTTTCAGCATAGTAGACATTATCATTAGCACAGTAATTATCATAATTAGCAAACTCAACGTCATAAATCATATTTCACACGTGAGTGTTAATCCACCAAAGTATCACATTACACTTTTCATAGTCTCTCAAACTATTTTCCTACATCAGATATAATTTTTAAAATTATTTTTGTTAATGCCAATTTCGTGTATATGAGAAGAAAAAAGAAATGAGAGAAAAACAACAGAAAAAAATGTAGAATAGAAAGACAAAAAGAAGAGAGGTGGGAAAAACCAATGATGATATGGAGAAAAAGGAGGTAGGTTTAAAAAAATCAAAAACAAAAATCGGATCGACATGTCAGTAGCAAAATAACACCTTTTCTATGAACTCAATAAATGTTGAATTTATCACTAAATTGACAGTTTCTGTATTTATTATCGCTATTGATCAAAATTTGAGCATGAACAGTTTTTTATTGCTAAAAAGTGTATTTAGAGTTGGGTCAACCTTTCTTTCTCCCTTTTTTCCGGGAAGTTAAAGAGCACAACTCGCGTACTCCAAATGCACAGTTATCAACTATGAACTGCATTTTTTTATCGGTTTGACCGTACAATAAGATGTCAGGTGAAATTATTCTAACACACTAATTATTGTTTATAATAATTACTGCTTATTATTTCGTCACACATTTTTAGACTCAGATTATCTATTGATAATTAATCGAACGTTAATCCCCTTTTTGATAATGGAAAATAATCATGAAACGCCCTTTTTCAAACAATGAATTATTGTAAAAACATCCTTAATTTAGATTTTAAATTTGACCACATTTGTTTTGCTTCGTGTTGTATCCAAGAAATATTATTCCGGGTAACGTTTTGTAATTTTATAACCTTGTTATGGCGTGTCGTATGTTATGTGATTTAATTATTAGTTTACAATCTTGTAAATAAAACAGTTGCTTGACATGTTTATATTTTATTGTATTTTGTCGTTCTGTCCAGAACTGACGATTTCACCGACTAAGTAGAGACGTAAACGTTGATAACTTCCTTTCCCTCCCAAAAAGGATATCTTTCCAAATCAAGAATAACTGCAAATAAACAGAGGAATTTTTTCAGTCTGTTTGTACATTGCACTATGATAAACGTTACGAAAATATTATTTTTTAAATATAATTCAGTGATCTTTCTTTTGTCGATGTCTTATCTATGAATTAGCGTTACAAGTAATACCTACACTGGGAACATTTACAATTCAATATAGTGTTTTAAAAAACATGTATGTGGGAAAAAATTAACGAATTATCTTGAATTCCTTGGCATCCGGCACTCGAAATCACACCTTTCTCTTGTGGTTTAGCCATGTTTGACTACCCGTTACATAGAGCCATTCCGGTACTAGATTAGTATCTTCTGAAACAACAGATGAGCCCATATTTCCATTTGTGTGATGTTCATAAAGGTTGCATTTTTGGAGACCTGGTTTCGAGTGCATTCGGTTAAGTGGCGGGTTTTCATCCATATCCATATCATTACCAGGTCAATAAGTCTGCCTCTGTATCTGTTGTTAGATGGATTTGCTTTTAATTGCTTTGTTACTTATTTTGCAGTTCAGTGTTTTGTTCAATTCATCTTGAAATTACTAAGATCATATAAAAAAAATCGGTTGCCCAGGGAGATACCGGCAAAAATTATGCAGGAGTGAAAGCCTTTCATGTGTTGAAGGAGGTACATGTACAGGTCAAATTTGTTTCTTCAGTGTTCTCTCAACACAGAAGAACAATCTTGTTTCTGCTAGGGCCCCTGGTATTATTTATACAGTGAGATAAAGCAGACATGTTATTTACCCTAACCTGCATAGGTTATTTCAGTTTGCAGAATGTATTCAAGATTGATTAAATATGCTAATAAAATTTATTTTTGATATATTGAATGTGCATTTATCAAATGATCATAGAGACGCCAATTTTAACATTATATCTTGTAAGAGATCCACCGATCACAATAACCATGCTCCGTTATACAAGATATGATTAACATTTATCAAGAGTAGAATATCAATCATGCTACATGTATTCCCCTCATAGACACTCTGTTTAAGTCAGTACAGTATGGAGAGTAAATGGGTTTCTGCATAACTAAAAGTTAAATCTCATTATTCCGCAAAGTATCCGAATGCCATAGCTCAGCCCGAAACCCTTTGTAAGTGATTGTCTCCTTTAAAAGATGTTTAAAAGATTTTACGTCTCCCCATCAGAATTTTGTCAAAAGGAGACAGTCATTTAATGAGGACTAGGCAGATAATTATGATATCATTGAGTGAGTATTTATGGACGTTTTCAAACGACAATAAGTCATTATAATATTCAATGCTGTGTTTTTTCACAAACAAATCCTGTGAACGAATGTCAAAATTCAAAAGAAATAAGCATGCACTTTCGTCAATGGTCGTATTTTACTACACGATTAACAAAGTGCCTCTATTCGCCTTTATTTGAGGAAAAAATGAGCCAAATACAAATTGTCTTTATTTACATTTTTTGGGTAGGTTTAATGTATACCTAAGCAGAGAAAGAAATGTGCAGTGTGGATGGTATGGAGGGCGGTTATGTTCTTATCAACATAACAATGAGGATTTGTCGTACACGACATTTGATATTAAATATCTTTTTTTAATTTTTATCAAAATTACCTTTGATAAATCGTGACGTATCAACAACAAATGTTGATATTTGGTGAAAGTTTTAAAGTAAAACATGTGCTAGTTGAGATGCTAGCTATTTCTGATTGGACGATGTGTAACAGATTGTTAGGCTGAGTTTATGAAACAAAGCTTCAACAGTCATATCTGGTAACGTATGACGAGGGTCCAAACACACAAACAGCCGCGAAAGGGAACGATAAGCTGGCCTCGTACAGACCGTGTTTACGTAACTATCTCTGTAGCCAAGTTTAGCTTGTTTGTATTTTTGTATTGTATACAAACCACACCTTAATGGAAGATGAGATGCACCTGTTAGTTAAACTATTTTTTGTGTGAATACCTTACGACACGGGATTTGAAAAATGTCTCGAAAGCAAACATTGTCGAGTGTTCTATTGTGTATTGATAAATGATCTTTTCTTGAAAGTTCACAATATTATATATATACCACATAAAGTACTTATATCTTTTACTTGTTATGATACTGTACAGTACTTATTTTTTTACATTTATTACATGTTTATAAATATTTCTTTTATATCACGTGTTATATCTACTTTAGATTATTTCATATGGATTTAATTTTTAGAGTACCTATGTTTCATATATATATATATATTATTTATATCATGTGAAGTATATACTGTATATAACCTGTTTCACATGTTATATATACTGCTGAGTACATATTTTTCACTTGATTTATTTACTATATATAACTTATGTTTCACGTGTTAGACATGCTGTAGAAATCATATGTTTCATGTGCTATATACATACTGTATAGACTTATTTTTTTACGTGTTAGAGATTTTCGGGTTTATTTTTCAAACATGGATTTCGATTTCACGCCAAAACTATTACCTTAGATAAGACAGTCGTTTAAATGCGAATTACTGTACTGATGTATAAATACAGAAAGGAAATGTTCAAGCGTAGAAAAAATGTGCAAATATTTTTTTATTTTTTTTTTAATTATGTACTGTTTGTAAATGAAACGATTTGATACAGAAAAGTAGTTCCTTACACCTGATTTTATGAACCTAACAGTCTATAATGTGTTACATCTTGAGTTGGATTACATGTTGTATATATCGGTAAAAGTGCTAGTAGTAAGAATTGTCATTATTTTATAAATTAATTTTAGAGAAATGCACACTCCCTATATATAAATGTACATGTGTTCTTTTCTTTTACTTGTTTTAATTATGCTTGCAAATAAAATGTTATGTAGAAAATTTGATCTTACTGGTGAATATCTTTAACACTTCACACATTATCTCTGCAGAGAGACCCTTAAATAAGGATAAAGATTCAAGAATTTCGTCAAGTTCCTTTCATGGCTTGCAGGAAGTTTTCAGTACTTTCACCATCATGAACTTTCCACCAGGTGGATACCAAACACATGCTTCTTTTTAGACTATAACCCAAACAACTTTTCGAGTGTGTGCTGTATTGTTTGTGAAATGATCTTGAGATTCTAAATCTATGCCACGGATATTTTAATGCCTTGTTACTGTTGATGCAATACACAATCCTTTACAAAACATTAAAGTTTTCGTGAAACATATTTTGACATTAGAGTATAACTTTTATTACTGATACTTTGATGTTTACATTAACAGAGTCAGGATGTTTTCTTTTACATTTTTGTTCAAATGCAATCTTAGGCCTTTCCATCAAACAGACACGCGTGTTGTCTGTATCATTAGGACAAACCACTGGGTTATAATCGATACCAGAGGCCCACCAGGTAGCTTGACGCTAGACACTCAACTTGAATTTCTTGTAAACACAGGGTTTCCCACGGTACAGATTTCTTCCCTACTCGAACACTGTAAATAACTTATGTGTTTTTTGGCATTATAAGCACTATTTCGCAAGGCACAAATGCTTGAAGTTGTACTTTAGGGGATTATTTTTAAACATTTGTGTGGGGTTGCGGTGGCCAAGTGGTTAAGGCGTTTGATATTCTGCTACCACTAGCCCTCCAACACTTGGCTGCTAGTACGTGGGTCAGTAGCCAGTACCTGGCCGTAGGTCGGTGGTTTTTCTCCGTGAACTCCGGGGCTTTCCTCCAACATCAAAAACCTGACACGTACTTAAATGACCATAGCTGTTAATAAAACGTAAAACACAAACAAACAAAACCAAAAATTTAAACAATTGTAGTCTGGTAGTTTGCTAACGCACTCGCCTTTAACCAAGACGGCGGAGGTTAGTTTTACGGATTCTCCAATTTTTCCCATTAACACTTACTTTGCGCTTCCATCTGTGCCAACGAGAGTGATTGATAAAAGTTTATAACTAGTTTCATAATTGTATTGATTTGTTCTTTACATAAACAAAATTTCCCGAATTTGTGTTATGAATTTAAACGATTTATAGTAATTACATGGTTCTGATAATACCGAATAATTCGGGTATAATTATGGTTCCAACAGGTTTGCGTTTCGCTTGCTTCTCTCCTTAACCGTATAGTAGCTTCCATGTTTTGTATTTATGTGTTGTTTGGTTGTCTTTGCTAGCGTTATATCAGTCACCGAGGTTGGCAATATCCTTGTAGCTGGAACTTATTTTTGCAGTGTAAACATTAAATCCTTGTTAAAATACATCATCTGTTGTTGCCAAAATTTGAATTTGCGAAGTTATGAACGATTTAATAAGCACTTTTACCATTTTGTTCAATTTTAACATATAATTGGAATATTTTTGGCTTGGATTTTTTTTCGGTTTCAGTGCCCATGGTTTGTATATATATATATGGATTGAATGTAGATTTTTGCAATGCCAACTAAAGTATATACGAGAGAAAATGTATTTACTCACTACATGAGCGTCCTTGGACAAGCGAAGGCCGAAGTGTGCAAATACATTTTCCATCGTTTATACATTCACCATCGTTGGAAAAATCCAGATCAATCCTTATAATTCCAAATTACTGTAAGCGAAAAGAAAGAAAAGAAACCCATGACTTAAATCACGAACGTTTTATTCCATTCATGAATTTTGCATAATAGTACGACGTAACACCGCAACACCATTTCGGGGATTTCGAAACTAATTTACGTGAATATGTTCTCACAACTACTTCGCTTGTCTTCTGACTTCACCAGTAAAGAAACCATTGAAGAAACAGTGGTTTAATTTTAGAATGAGCTATAACCCGGGCGATGATCTTTTAAGAAGGTTATCGACAGTGTTTACTAGTGCAGATGTGAACTCAAGAAATGACAATTTGGCATCACAAGTATAGATCTGTGTTGACACCCGTTGTGGCAGAGCGGTGTTTGTTATGACGGATAGTGAGTTAGACCACAGGGACCAGATAATTTGTTACAACTATATTTTGACCTAAATCTGAGGTGTTCAGGGTAATGTTACACGTTTTCGGGGTTTATATAAATGTTCGGTAAAAACGCCACCTACAATGATGGTATACGTATATGGCATTAATCTAAACCCCGAAAACGTGTAAATTCACTCTTAACGCTTCAGTTTAGGTCAAAATATTGCTGTAACAAATTCTCAGGTCCCTGTGCATTTGACTAGACTCCTCACGCTCTTGTTGACGGTTACATACCTCAGTTATAGGATGAAAACCACCTAAACAATTATTTTGTATGTCGGTGTAAGATGTGTAAGTAGCATTCTAGAGGGATTTGATGTTTGTTATGAACGTGTCAGCCTCCGTAGACCAGCTGCAACTGTTTACATGCCGCGTTCGTCATGTTCGTTGAAATTCATATGATAATGCAAGTAAGTAAATTTACCTCTGTTTATAAACGATAGAACTACCAACTTTTTCACGGTGAGTTAGATTTATGTTAAGAGAGACAACTCGAACGTCAATGGAAATATGAATTTGGATAATTTTAAAAGTAGTTCCACAAAAAAATACCAAAAACCCAGACTTTAATTCTGAAATGAACAACTGCTTGTTGTCAGATATAGTCAAATTGACTTTTTACTATCAATAAAAAAAAATCAACAGCTGCTGTAACTTCCATTTAAAGAGTAAAACAGTAAAACGATGTATCATTGGAAAATGAATTTTGCTGGGTCTCATAACGTGATAGGTGTGCATTAATCGCTGGTATAATGTATTGATGACAACATTTTGAATTTTAATTGTTTTGTTATATCAAAGTTAAGACACGTATCTCTTGTTTACTCAGCATTTTCTTGAAATGGGACCCTGTACTTCTTGGTATCTTTGAAAAATTCTTTCAAAATATTCAGTTCATAGCCATCTCGAACCTCTACCCAGAGTTTTAGTTCCTTAGTGAGTGTAAAGAACGACCACTCTGGGTAAAGAGTGAATGCGCCTCTTGTGTCAGTTAGACCCGTTAAACCTTGTTATACTCGCACTTTGCTGATTTTACTGACTCAAACATGACGTCATCAACGGCAAACATTTGAAAGGACTAATTGTATTTACCATTGCTTGCTTAGTTAACAAAACTTGTGTTAATGTGACCAGAACCTAAACGTATGCATAGAGAAACATTTGATGGAATCATGTATACGTTCTAAATGTGTAATTATTCAAAGTCGATAAATCAATTTGCATTTTATTTGTATCTAGCCCGTTAAACATCAATATAGAACCTATGTAATCCAAGAAAGGTTATCAAAACTTGAAATTTAAAAAACAAAAACTATGCCCGAAATCTGACATGTGTATTTATTGTTAAGATTTTGGGACGGTGAGTATCGGGAAAATGTATGCTTCTATCGTCTATTTCTCATTTCTATGTAGAAATCTTTATAACAACCATGGTATTTTGCTCGGCCAAACGATGAGCATCGAATGGCAAATAAAATTGATATACATACACAAAAGAGAAACTATCCGATTGACGTTTAACTCTAGTACGAATTACAATCAACATATAACTTTTTAAAGAACCTTTCTAAGAAAATCATAGTACACGAAACAATTCATCATTATTATTATTATTATGCTTTATACCCCAAAAAATAGTATTGGAATACTTTTAAGAGAGTTAACGATGTAGCTAAGAAACTAATATAAACAGCCTTTTCTTTGTGTTCATATTTTTTCTTCTTCTGTAATGTCAGCGCTGAATGCTAGGTTAACATGTCCATTTCCATTTTCACTTATATTTCCGTTTTCATTTTTATGTCCATTTTCACTTATATTTCCATTTTCATTTATTTTTCCATTTTCTGTTATATTTCCATTTTCACTAATATCTCCATTTTCACTAATGTGTCCATTTTCACTTATCACAGATAACCGTATATTGTTGGAATCCGATTGATCCCCGTTCGGAAATAAACACCCGCTGGAACTGTTCCGTCTTAGTGACGTTCGGTTGGACTGACCACCAGTTTGTATATCTGAAGACGCGTTAGAAAATCGTCGCAGGTTAGACTGATATGTCAAACTCCGTCTAGAGTCGCCATGGAAAGCGGAGTCTCTACGTATTCTATAACTGGCTTTGATGAGCGATAATACCTGGGAATGGAATATAGAAATTGATTAAAAAAATGAGAAAAACCCAGCATAGATATAATGTTTTAACACAGTCTAAGTAAAGGGTTCCATAGCATCAGTTATGATAGTAAAGAAGAGTTCCACTCAGAGGTTTTGACTTGGAGTAATCTCCCTTCTGTATAAAACAAAATTGGACTGAGGTCACAATTAAATGCTTCCGGGTTCAGTAGCCACGAATGAAGTCCCTTAGAAATATAAGTACTGTAGTAAAAAATATACGAGGCCTCTTAGAACTTCTGTGTCAATTTTTTATATTGTGCATTTATTTTTGGTGCAGGGTGCTGTGTGAAAAGTCCTGTGTTTATTTCTACCCCAGACCCGGAAGTTTACTTTTGATATTGGTGACACATGCAAACGGTTATCTCAAGAAAAAGGCCAACATGCTATGTTGAAATTTTGATATTTTACTCCTAAGATGTTGCTCTTGATCAGGTTACATGGAAAGTTGGCTATCAAATGTTGGGATTTGTTATGAAATTGAATGTTACAATGAAACACATAGGAAAATTAATTGTGGTCTTAGTCCCATATGAAGCAACCAAAAGCAGCTTTTCTGCCTTAGAGTAACTTCCCTTGTAATGTTTTTCATAGGATTTGTGGCCCATAAATTTGACACTCATTTGATGCTGAACATATATAATTCCTGGAGTGATTTTTTTGACAATGATAGAATATCGTTAACTTGATAATACCCTTTAGCTCAACTTATATGATAAATCAAATAAGCGATACTACATATACAGTACGCTAAACCTAACCTAGGAAACAATAATAAAAAACCAGAACGATACAGAAAGCCACATCTTTGACTAGAATGCTAAAACAACACAAGATTGATACAGTAAGCTTAATTTTCATTAGAATGCACCAAATGCGACCAGAGCCATACAGAAACACTACACTTTCCTTAAAATACAATAACAACATCATATATTTCAGTACGCTACAAACCTTTGCTGCAAGTTCACTAGAATACAGGGAAAAATACAGTTATATTAACCCTACACTAGAAAACAACGTTAAAGAACGACTCACTTTCACTTTCACAAGAATACAATAACAACAACACCAGAATGATACATTCGTAACATTTTCACTAGAATACCACAACAGCACTAGAATGATACAGTAAATAACACTTTCACTGAAACAACACTTATAATACTAGCGTTACGCTACAACCTAATCATTTCATCATTTACGTTCGATATATCGATACTAAAAAAACTAAAACAATAAAGATACGTCCCAAGTTGTGTAAAATAACAATAGAACAACAAACTTACGCTACACATTCACGAGAAGAGCTATACAATTTTGCTATTATTAAGATCCTGCAACTGTATTTCAATTTTACAGTCACTATTTTACAAAATAAACATCACACTTACCTCTCCGTTGAAATAGCAGTATATCAGGGATATGACTATTCCCTGAAAAGTAAGTTTTACGTAAGGAATACAAGACATCTGTTTAACATTACTCATGGTATTAAACACATTCCCGTTCAAGAAAATTATCCACCATACGCGATAGCAATTTAGATTCATATTGACATAGATTTTATTTAGGCATTGGTAAATGTGTTCATTATAATTTATGATAAGCTGAATGAATACTACTGATATTTTTTGATTGCGCTTAAATTCTTCCCTTTTAGTGATATGGTTAATTTTCCAATATTTGGTTTTCATTTCTAATTGTTTTGTACCGAATTTTTATTCCTTAGGGTACATGATACTTGTCATTATTTGTAGGTTTGATTCTCACCTGTGAATTATATACAATTGTTGACGCCATCTGGATAAACGACTTCTCTTTAGTGGTATGGTAATGTTTTTTCGATGATTTTTCTCCACATTAAATTGTTTTCTTCTTGCTTATCATTGTTTAAGTTACAGGATATTTTTCATTATTTGTAGGTTTAATTCTCACCTGTGAATTATATACAATTGTAGACGCCATCTGGAAAAATTCGAAAGCCGTCTGATCGGGTGGCACCAGGTAGATTATGAAGAACACGTGAACACCGAACAGTGGCACTAGTATAAATGTCGCCTTGATCGCCTGCCTGTGATATCACGAAACGAATTAGTAACACCATGATCGCCTGTACGAAATCATAAACAAATAACACGAATATAAACCTTGATCGCCTGCCTGTGATATCACGAAACAAATTAGTAACACAATGATCACCTTTAAGAAATCATAAACAAATAACACAAATATAAACCTTGATTGCCTGTCTGAGAAATACCAAAATACGTTAGTCTCATTTGTATTAAACTTGGCTGCCTTTTGGAGAAAGCAAATAACAAATAAGTCACACTAGACTAAACACTAATTGCCTGTCTGTAGATTAATGAAACAAATAGCCACACAAGTATAAGTGTGGCCTTGAGCGCCTGGCTTTGATATCTAAGTAATAAGTACAAAAGAAGAATGAAAATAGAAGTTCCAGAAATCTTCTGCAGAAAGACCGTTCCTAATGGTAAGTTTACAATGATGCTACTGTGACTTCTAAATATTGTATAACACATATATATAAATATTAACAGATACAATGGCTACCTCTGCCTAAATGTATTACGTTTATCAGGAGTTATACTTTTCTTAATCATTTTTTGTTAACGATCTATTTGGCATTGTTTGAGTAAATTGTTAATATATTCACTGAACTAATATTTTGCAAAAGTAACGACACAGCCACTGTCTTCTGTTATACACAGTAGTCCTAAAGCTAGGGTTGAAAATAGCTACACCACCCCGTAGCAGCAGTTATCATGCTAGGGGTACAATATATTGTAAATGGTTGTTAATTAAGTACTTCCTTTTTGTGTAACAAAGAAAACTTTTATATCAATGATGAAAGTCCATATTGAGACATTAAATGATAACCAAGCGTAGATAATATCAGTCCAATTTTTCCATATCTCTACTGCCTGCAAACTTTTTGATAAATTTATGTTATCTTATTACATTGTATTTGCAAAAATGGCTTTATGATGGCAGTGACGGACGTGTACCTGTAACTTCTGGGTTCTTGTGGATGAGAAGACACTTGTCGGATAACAATTCTCATTATGTTTAACATCAGGAACAGATTTATCTGAAAGAAAATGTAAAACAATTAAAATAAAACAATTGAATAGAAACTGGTTTTGTTCGGATGCATCAGTAGGATGGTATATGACATTCGAATTCGAATGGTATAAGTATTTGCATTGTTTATTTTAAAACATTTGACCTTTTGTTCCTATTAAAAAACACCTACTCAGAAAATTGTTAATGTGTTTTTTATTATCATACAAGTCATGATGAGAAACACAACCAATTTATGAGATAAAAGACACCAATTAAAACATGTTGTGAACGTATTACTTGTAAATGAAATCTGAATTATGATATACATGCTGCCTATATATAATTATGCTCAAAGATATTACATGTATATAAACGTGAGCTATGTATATTTGAATTATTAGGAACTAGTTATCTATGTTCCTTGCTATTTCGTTTTGCATCTCTGAAGTTTTGTATACACAGTAACACATTATATGTCCCACCTTACTACTATGCATATCAATATAAAGGGCAAACTTACCACGATACATATCAATATAAAGGGCAAACTTACCACGATACATATCAACATAACGGTCAAACCTACCACTATGCATATCAATATAAAGGGCAAATTTACCACTTTACATATCAATATAAAGGACAAACCTACCACTATACATATCAATATAAAGGACAAACTTACCACTCTACATATCAACATAAAGGGCAAACTTACCACTTTACATATCAATATAAAGGACAAACTTACCACGATACATATCAACATAAAGGACAAACTTACCACTATAACATCAACACAGTGATAAACTTACCACTTTACACACCAACATAGGGGCAAAGCTACCACGATAACATCAACACAGTGATAACTCACCACTATACATATCAACATTGGGGCAGTAATAATCCACTCAATACCACGAATGGCTCCCTCTGGCGGTTGGATCCAACATGACCTTGCAAAGACAGGAAGTACAAGGTTGATTTTTACAAGCATTTCATTATAATGAAAGTAATCACTTGTCGAACTAATATTTACTTAAGATTGTTATTGTCATTGCATACTCAGATGTATTGTATTTCCAAGTACCAAACTCGTATTATTTTTAAAGATAAAAATGACAGGAATGGCATGAATATCAATATGAATTCGTTTTATCAAGTACCAAACGGATTTTATTAAGTACCAAATTGAGAGAAAAAAATGAGTTAAATGAAATCACATCAGCATGCAGGCCGTACTTACTGGTCGTCAGCTAACATTTTTCGTAAAATTCCATAAAGTACGGCAAAAAAGGCGGGACATCCTATAAATAATAATAAAGTAAAATATAATTCAATAATTTCTAAACCCAAGAGAAATATATCTCTTATCTTTATTTAAGGTTCAACAAGCCCCCTAAATATGTTTAAATCAACCAAACATCTGATAAGTCATATTCAAAGACCCCGTTTAAAATTCGGAATTCATATATGTAATTTCAATATATCAATATATTTAGCTTGTACATAAGTGATTAAAATGTTCCATAGCGAGGTTGACAAAGTCGATAAAAAGGCATTCAGGCTGATGTCTTCATAAAAATCGTTTACCGAAGATACAACATGTCAATCTAACTGAATACTACGAAATGACATACCATCTAAAGTTCATTTATATATATATCAAATCAAGTCAAGTCAATTTTGTTTATTATAGTGTCATATATCACAATTACATCGTACAAGTATATAGTTACACAGTCTAAAAAACATATAGTTACATAACAGGGATCAATCATCTTGATGTAAAAATATATAGACCATATCATAATTTTGTTAAGAACAGCTATTATACATAATAAATTAATAAATTAAAACAAACTATCACATATGCCAATCAAGAGAGCAGGTGATTGGGACAGCCCCTACCTAACAAACTCCTGGATTTTGTACTTACATATTATATACTATGATAGTTAAAAGGTTTCTTTTACATTTACTTCCTTAAAACATGATGTCTTTAAAAAAACCCAATAACAATGGTGATAATAAAATGAATAATTTCCGAGGTTTACATTGTAGTGAAATTTAGGTTTCCAAGGGTTGGGGAGCCCCCTACCAGCGAGGTCTGCTAAATTCACACTAACTAGTAGCTGATTATAATTTAAACGGAAGATTATTATCATAAAAAATGTTTCTGATTGACACCTGGTATAATATTTAATAATGCATAAAATAGAAAATGTAATTATTTATCTAGGTCATGCGGAACTTAATTGTTTGTTTTGCTAGCTGTGGAGAGACACACCGGCCTCAAAACAAAATTATTGTGCGATGGGAATAAACCAAAAAAGTATTATTGTAGCAAAAAAACACAAATCTGCTTTATAATCCCGTCTTACGGAGATAAAGCGGACAAACTTTGGAAGATAATTCCATGACAACGCGCTGACATATGAAATCTTGAGCGTTTGTTTCCACATATGTTGTTAATCATTATAACAGTTGATTATCTAGAACTTCCACGAAAACACGTTTTGTGTCTTTCAGCGTTATAATTATCAAACTATTAGCATATCCTCTTTACGTACCCCAACCTACAATGTAGTAGCCGACAATGTGTTTAGGGGCCTCGAATGCCTTCATCAGTAAGGTATGCAGAAAGAACCCCTCACACAACATCCAGAAAAAGGGCGTAATTCGAGCGAACCGCCGGAGGATGTTTAGGAACTTGCAGCTGTTCTGTCAAAAAAATAACATAAATTGAGTTATACATTTCACAACAACATACAGAAGGCTAATACATGCAACAGCTTAACCTAAAGGTGACTTAACCGTTTGTTTACATAATAAAAGTTAAAAAATAATAGATGTATTTCAAAATAAAAACATAGACGTACAAAACATTTGTTCCTCTATAAAGTAATAAGATATAGTCAGCAAATAGAAAAAGAAACATGAAAAAAATATTAAATTTATGATTTAACATTAGGGTATTTTCGCTTTAAACTTATTAGATGAAACTAATTTGTTACATTATGTACGTATGATATATGTATTACAGTTGTTACATTGTGAATTTGTTACGGAAGATAATGGTTAGAAGAAACAAAGATAATGTTCTGGTTCTTCATCACTCACCGTTAGAGTTACGTCGGTAATAACATATATTTGATGACTCATTTGAAAGGATTTTTCTCAAAAACAAAGGAATCTGTTCATATCTACACTCACTTCATGCTTGGTGAAAGTGAAGATCATTCTTATCAGGTGGCTCTAGCTGTACATATGTGATGCTTACCTGGTCAGTGTGTACGAGAGAGTGGGTACCGTCATTGACAAGTCTGTTGTACTTGACCAATACATCCCAGAACATCCAGATCACTCCATATACCAGAAGCGAAATGAAAAGGTGGATATGGATTCGGATCCGCAATTGTCGACGTAACTGTCTGTAAATATGTATATATGCATTAAGCTGTTAGAGGGTGGAACGTACAGCTGGATGGTGGTTCATACAGTTAGGGGGTGATACTAACAGATATATGCCAATACTTACAGTTTGAGGATGATGCCAACAAATAAAATGGCTGTTCTAACAGGAAGAGGGTTGATCTTGCAGTAAGAGGGTGGTTATAACAGTTAGAGGTTAATGCTAATAATTTGAGGGTGATTTTAACAGTAAGAGGATGGGTCTAACAGTAAGAGGATGGTTCTAACAGTAAGAGGAAGGTTCTAACAGTAAGGGGGTGTTTAAATTATAAGAGGGCGGATCTAGCAGTAAGAGGGTGGTTATAACAGGTAGAGGTTAATGCTAATAAGTTGAGGGTGATTTTAACAGTAAGAGGATGGTTCTAACAGTAAGGGGGTGTTTAAATTATAAGAGGGCGGATCTAGCAGTAAGAGGGTGGTTATAACAGGTAGAGGTTAATGCTAATAATTTGAGGGGGATTTTAACAGTAAGAGGATGGGTCTAACAGTAAGAGGGGGTTTAAATTATAAGAGGGTGGATCTAGCAGTAAGAGGATGGTTCTAACAGTAAGAGGGTGTTTAAATTATAAGAGGGTGGATCTAGCAGTAAGAGGGTGATGTTAATAGTTAGAGGGTGAAACTAACAGTTAAAGGGTGTTTTGAACAGAAAGAGTGTGGTTCTATTAGTAAGAGGATGGTTCTAACAGTTAGAGGGCTTATACTAACAGTTCAAGGATGATACTAACAGTTAGAGTGTGATACTAACAGTTAAAGGGTGATACTAACAGTTAAAGGGTGATAACAGTTCAATGATGATACTAACAGTTACAGCGTGATACTAACAGTTAAAGGGTGATTCTAACAGGTAAAGGGTGATACTAACAGTTAAAGGGGGATACTAACAGTTAAATGGTGATAATAACATTTCAAGGATGATACTAACAGTTACAGTGTGATACTAACAGTTAAAGGGTGATACTGACAGTTAAAGGGTGATTCTAACAGTTAAAGGGTGATACTAACACTTAAAGGGTGATAACAGTTCAATGATGATACTAACAGTTACAGCGTGATACTAACAGTTAAAGGGTGATAACAGTTCAATGATGATACTAACAGTTACAGCGTGATACTAACAGTTAAAGGGTGATTCTAACAGGTAAAGGGTGATACTAACAGTTAAATGATGATAATAACAGTTCAAGGATGATACTAACAGTTACAGTGTGATACTTACAGTTAAAGGGTGATACTAACAGTTTAAGGGAGATACTAACAGTTAAAGGGTGATACGAACAGTTAAAGGGTGATACTAACAGTTTAAGGGAGATACTAACAGTTAAAGGGGGATACTAACAGTTAAAGGGTGATACTAACAGCTAAAGGGTGATTCTAACAGTTCAAGGATGATCCTAACAGTAAGAGTGTGATACTAACAGGTAAAGGGTGATACTAACAGTTAAATGGGGATAATAACAGTTCAAGGATGATACTAACAGTTACAGTGTGATACTTACAGTTAAAGGGTGATACTAACATTTAGAGAGGTCATACTAACAGTTTAAGGATGGTTTTAACAGTTAAAGGGTGATAACAGTTCAATGATGATACTAACAGTTACAGCGTGATACTAACAGTTAAAGGGTGATACTAACATTTAGAGAGGTCATACTAACAGTTTAAGGATGGTTTTAACAGTTAAAGGGTGATAACAGTTCAATGATGATACTAACAGTTACAGTGTGATACTAACAGTTAAAGGGTGATTCTAACAGGTAAAGGGTGATACTAACAGTTAAAGTGTGATACTAACAGTTAAAGGGTGATACTAACAGCTAAAGGGTGATTCTAACAGTTCAAGGATGATACTAACAGTTAGAGTGTGATACTAACAGTTAAAGGGTGATACTAACACTTAAAGGGTGATAACAGTTCAATGATGATACTAACAGTTACAGTGTGATACTTACAGTCAAAGGGTGATACTAACAGTTAAAGGGGGATACTAACAGTTAAAGGGTGATACGAACAGTTAAAGGGTGATACTAACAGTTGAAGGGTGATACTAACAGTTTAAGGGTGATACTAAAAGTTAAAGGGTGATACTAACAGTTAGAGAGGTCATACTAACAGTTTAAGGATGGTTTTAACAGTTAAAGGGTGATAACAGTTCAATGATGATACTAACAGTTACAGTGTGATACTTACAGTTAAAGGGTGATACTAACAGTTAGAGAGGTCATACTAACAGTTTAAGGATGGTTTTAACAGTAAGAGGGTGGTTATAAAAGTAAGAGGATGGTTGTAACAGTGACAGGGTTACACTTACAGTTAAAGGGTGGTTCTAACAGTTAGAGGGTATTTTAATAGTAAGAGGGTGGGTCTAACAGTAAGAGGGTGGTTCTAACAGCAAGAGGGCGGTTCTAACAGTAATAGGGTGATACTAACAGTTAAAGGGTGGTTATAACAGTAAGAGGGCGGCTCTAACAGTGCGAGGATGATTCTAACAGTTAGAGGGTGATGCTAACAGTTAGAGGGGTTATACTAACAGTACGAATGGTTATACAAACAGTAAAAAGGTGATACTGACTGTCAGAGGGATGACACTAATAAAGAGTTGGAGAAATATAGGTTTTGCACTGAGAAACAGAGAAATACCACTATTTTTCATGTAACGGCCAAATGAACAAATACACGAGTTCAATTTGAATTGTTTAATTTGGGATGCAACTGTTTCGTCCATCTATGACTCATCAGTGATGCGAGGGGCCAAAAAGGTGGAACTGTTATGAACAATTGTTGTAACAGAAGGGAGGGGCAAAATTGATGAGTGCTGGTTAATCTCAAATAAGTTTGTAAAGTCTGTTTATTAACTTCATTTTATATATTATAAAACATCCCACTACTCAAAAGAGATAATTGTGACTATACCTGTAAAAGATGAAGACTACAATTGCCGGTACCAAAAGCAGTATTCCAACGCCATTCAGCGATATCCCGACAATTATTGAATTTTTATACACCTGAAATAAAGAATAAAAAACTAAAAAGCCGAAATAGACCAAAAACGCATAATTTCTTCAGAATACAGTGTTTTTCTGTTGATCAGTCACAGAACCCTGGATATTTTATAGCGTTGATTGAAATTTTGCTCATTAATTTCTATAAATTTTCAATCATTGAAAAATTTCAACACAGATAATTTAGTATAAATAATTTGAAAACCGGATTATCAAAGATTCCTGTCCCACTCCAGGCAAAACACTAGATAGTTCCACTTTAGTTTTTCGAACAAATAGTACCCTTTCCTTAAAAAAAATCTTGTCTAGCCACCACAGTTACAGTCTTTGGCAGTGGTACGGGGATTTTAACTGTGATACCATATTTGAGATAATATTAGAAGTAAAAAAGGAAAAGAGAAGTCAAGTTACACCATTGGGAGAATACAAACTATTTTTGGTTCCATTCAGTTTAACAGATAGGCATTATCCAATGGTATCGGACCTCCCGACAGTGACTGGTACAAGAAATGTATATATAGCTGATACAGGGGAACGAGTTACACCACTGGTACAGATTTATTATCATATCTGTAAGCGAAAAGTTTTAATAAAATTGTATTTAATGGAAATGCATAACCGTTTTTAAAAACTATATCTTATTGAATTTGGTTGTAAATTTTGACAATTTTATAATTAACTGTTTGTCTCATATAAAAGCAATATAAGCATTCTTTGTGCTCAATCTAAGGAACAAATCTACTACAAAATAAAGGGCCATAACTACATCCGTGTTAACATTAAACGCATGTGATGCATGTGTCAGTAATTACTCAGAGTGAGGAAGGTGTATGCCTACAGCCACGTATTGCATTGTTGGCATTCCTGAGTGTAAATACACATAGTAGTGTGTAGGCCCAACAGATGCTGTTATATATAAACACGTCTAGGTATCGTCAATACATCTCACTTAACCATAAACTAATGCATTAAGTTAATATTATATTAATGATAAAACAAAGTAATGTATACCGAAGAAATTATTGAATTGTAAGTTCGATTATTTTCATTTTGATATTTTATTTGTTTATTATCTATTAAAAATATACACATAAATAAGTATCGTCAATACTCACCTAACTATAAACTAATCAATTAACTAAGTTGATATAATATTGATGATAAAATAAAGTAAAATATACTGTAAAATTGAAAATGAATTGTTAGTTTCTTTTCATTTTGATACCTCTTCTGCATATGATCTATGAAAAAACCTAACAATATCTAATCAATGTTGAAAATATGAAAAAGAATTAATATAAAATGGGAGAATATTGAAAAATTATTGGAGAACCTGACTTCTATTTGTGAATATATTACCGTAGTTTTAACATATATTACAAATGTTATACGTGAATCAACATTGAAAGAATAGAAATCCTGCATGAGAATATTTACTTCATTTTTAAGTGGTCAACACTCTTAAAATGGTGAAATATGTCAAATGTTTGTGCACAATCACAAGTTATACTATAAAGACGTTTTGCTCAAGAAGTGCCATATCTAAGAGACCAACAATGGTGCGAGCTTTGTATGACCACATACGGTCTCCGAATCTTAGTTAGATAGGGTGATTATATGTTCGACTTGTTATCTATATATATATACTGTATCTACTAACGTGGGGTTGGCACCTATCCAGCCACAATGTTACTGAACTATTGAGCATGTCCAAGGATTTTACCAGATCGCTGGAAAAGGTAGCTTGCAGTAAGGCAGTATTCCCGCTGTTATCCATTGGCTGATACACAACTACAGTCTTGGGACATTATATACAAATTCCTTATTCGCAGAATGGTTTACCTCACGTTAAATTATAAAACTTGCACAGGTATTAGAACCATCCTGTGTTATAGGGTATCAATAAATAATTATTTAACCAGACAAAGCAAAGTTTGTCACAATTCCATTAGTACCGGAAAGAATGCATTTATGTCGCAACATGAGGCGATCTTGGATGGAGGACCATGAACCAAACACTAAAGGTCTGCAGGACCTGGCTTAAAATAGAAGAAACCACACAGGACCGAGGAGTACACTATGTATATCAGAAGTCGAAAGGAAAACGAGGAAATTGTGAATTTCAAGTAAAAACTATTCTCTGATTGATATTCTTTATACAGATTCCCAAATCTGAAAGAAGCTTGAAAATTCTAGAAGCACATTACAAGAGAAGGATTAAAACGACTGGTATCCAAAACACTGGACTGACAATTTCCTAGCTAACGAGAACGAATAACCTATCACGTGAACTCTCAAAAGAAAATTTTGAAGGATATTTCTAATAACTTTCTCTACAATATTTACATTATTTTAACTACCACTTTAAATGCGTCACAGGCGATTGTTTTAAAGCTTTGTGGATATTGACATTTGACACTGATAAATTGTATGTTATGTATTGTGGTATAATGCACTGATTGTAAGTAATCTATAATTAGTTTAAGCATAAGTGCTAAGTTAGCATAGGAAGCGTTTGTAATTATATAAAGATATGGTATGCTTCCCATCTAAAGACGTAGCATTCAGCAAGATATAATCATGAATTAAACACCCAATACATTTCATTAATGTTGTAAATGAGGACATTTTCGTGATGTGTCGCATCAAGTAAATATTAATAATTCTCCCGTCACAGATTATTTAGATGATATCTTTATATATAGAATGTATCGATTTTAGAACCCTTGCCATCGCGAAAATTTTCACACAACGAACATTTCCAATTTTCGCAGTAATTGTAATTGTTAAAAGAGAGCAAATCTCTTTTGATGGCAAATGACAAAAAAATAAATATCTATTTACAACTGAATGAAAGAGTTGAATTTAATATGTCTGCTACATAAATCGTAAGAACCTTTTGTGATATCTAATGCATAGAACTTCCTACCATCTGGAATTGAACAATCACTAATTCATTAGAAGAAGGGAATATCAGGAAAACAAAGTATTTCACATGCCAGACCATTGACAATCGAAAGTTGCGGCGAAAAATACGCACTTAACTGCAAAAGTATGCGTTTTGTGTTCATTTCCTTAGAAATATTATATCAACGAAGTGGTATTATTATTCGAGAAATATTAGACACTATTAGACGATGCAAGAGTAGATCTTTTTGCAGATGCATCATATTTGGGTAAGTCCACAAAGATATGTAAAATATTTTCGCTTCATATGCATTAAATGTGTGTCACATATAACTTTGATATGTGATGTTTTCATTTTGAATTATGACTATTGGCAGGCCGACGTTTGTGTTGAAATTCGATTATTGTCAGATGTTTTATAATCTGTGCAGATGCATTATACAAAAATATTTTAATAAACTCATTTTAGAATGTTTTCTCAACATCTCAAGCAAACGTGTGTCATATATCCGAATAAGGGAGCGGACAGCTGTCGAGGATGCTATGGGAATCTACATGCCATTGAGAAATAACGAAAGCGTTAGGATATTGCATCAAGTAACAAGGGCATTTTGCGATGACTAACGAAATGAGGACGTAACGCATCAAGGTGCAATTCCTCAAAAAACATTCTTCAATCGGATGTTTTCTCTTGCATTTCGATATGTGAATAATACCTATCCTGAATAATGCACTTATGATATAATTCAATAGTACATATCTGAAGTAGTTAGTGAATTGGAGTCTACAAGTGTTACCTTGAGCAGACTTCGGTACTCTGTGGGGACACACGTGGTGTAATCAGAGCGCTCCATATGAGACGAAGGGTCCACCCACCACGTGCCGTTAATGGTACACTGCTTCGTAACCTTAGCTGAAATTTTATAAAGTAAACCATATTTCAATATCACAAACACACAATTTTTTCATCTTTACGATTAATGCAAAACAGATGTGAGGAACGCAATTAACGAACAACATTTATCCAACAAAAATATCATAAATATTCTAATACCACAAGTCTGCCATTCTTTATCCACATAGGAATTTTAAGCGTTGACAAATATAATGTTTTTTGTTTATTTATTTTTTAAATTTTTACTCATATATGAGAAGTAAACACTGTTGCGACAATTTCCTAGAGGAAAAGATTGAGAATTCAAACATCACGTGAGCATTCATTTTGGATAGTATTATCAAATATTTATTTATTTTTTTCCCCCGTTTCAATTGTTGCGTATATCTATTCAGCATTGCATAGTAATGATATGTATTCAGACAAATATAACAATAATATATATATTAATTGCCATATACTACATGTATTTATATGTACAACTTATTTAGACAATTATAACAATGATGTATAATATCTACTCAGCCACAAGTATCAATTATATACTTACAATATTAATTCAGCTATATATAACAATGATTTTTTTCAAGAAAATATGTGTCATTTGAAACAAATTAGAAACAAAAACCTGCATATGAAGAAACAGGAACCGACCTTATACTCAATATTTTCAAGTCTGGTGGCAAGAAACCACTTGATTGAAACTCAATACTGTCCGTTTTCAGCACGCTACTGGTTCTTTTTCAAGGGCGACTGGACAGTTCAAATGTCCTAGCTTTCATATTTCATGATTAACTAAAATGCCAAATAAGACTTTTTTTTGTTGATATTTTGTTCTCTATATAACTTGCAATTACAATTTTATAAAGCAAAACAGTTTTATAAAAGTTAAGTGTTAATTAAATAAACTTTCTAAGACACTTACGGTTCATTTCCAAAATTATATATTTCAAAAATGATGGACACACTTGATTTGCTGTTGTTCCTTCCTCTGTGAAATCCCAGCATGCCCATCCGTCCCATGTTTGCGGACAGAGCCCATGTCGAGGCTTTGTAGGTTTTTTCAATTGTGTTTCACAACATTTCCAAGCGTTTGTACAACACTGACTCCAGTCGGCACAGTCATACTGCTCCCCACTTATAGTATTACACACACTGTCCATACTTGTTTGGTTGTGTATATCGGGGAATACACCAACGCCTCCCCTTTTATTGAAAAGATACGTTAAGCTTTCATTTCTTAATAAACTTATTCTTTTCTTAAAAACCGGGTTCCGTATAAAAAGATACGAATAGCATTCAGAGCATGTGGATATTCGATAATTTGAAGCACTTCGGAATGATCCCCGATCGCGGCACGTAACTTGTGGATCTGTTGCCCTCGTGTCCATGGAAACAGCAAGCTGATAAATAAGCAAAATAATTTTCATACATCGTGTGAAAAAATATTATTTCAATATGTTACTTTTCACAAGACGGAGAGGTATATATTATACCGATATGTTGAAAAGCAACTGCTGTCATGTAAAAGTTCACAATATAGTGGATATCGGCATCGTGACAGATTTGAAGCAAAATTCAAAATCGAGTTTATTGTTTATTCATCCAAAACTCACCGGAACAGAGGATAATTCGTTGTAGTAAAAGATAATGCTAATTCATGTTGATACTTGCATTAAAATGCTTAAGGAATCCAGTCAATGTGATACAATGTATATATATCAATAGATTATGGTGCGATGATATTTCATTATTAAACAAGATATACAAATTATTACAACGTATGTAATGTTGATTCGAGATCATTTAATAGAAGTTCATAGAGCACAACCAGTGAATAAATATGTGTTGAGATTTTATGACAAATATGATATGTACCCTTCATCTCCATCAGAAAATTAATCTGTGAAGCGTACATAAAGGTTAAAATATTTAAGAGTTGGGGAAATAAAACCTCCTTCGATTCGGCGATTCTATATGTGTATGTACACTTAATTGCTATATCGAGATGAGGGGGCCCATAGACTCTCGGAAATCTAATACCAGCTTTGCCGAATCGACGGCGATTCTCTTTTCCCAACTGGTACATAATATACACCTTAGTGTACATACGCTCACTGCTCATTAGTCTAATGCAGATGCAGGGTACATATAATTCTTGTCTTCGAAAAGTCAGATCTATTTACTATGTATATTGTATATGATCTGACTTATCATTACATTACATTTAGAATTAAATATGAAAACTACATCTAAAGTATAGGTTTTCCTTGTGCATACATACCTGGAAAACGACGTAGAATAATATATATTTCATGTTTCCCTTCCTCATGTTTCCTTTTCCTCTTCTTTTCTTGTTGACTAAATAGAGAAAAGAAAATGTTAGTGAATTACCAATCTCATTACATATTTATAAACATTAAATAGACTATAGGTATATATATGTTCAGAGACGTCAACATGCCGACTTTCCTCACAGACGACCTGGATTCATTCCTTTTGTTGTACAACATGTACGTTTGTCCATCAGCAGTCTACATTCTATCACGGAAGTCTGTAGGAAAAAGGTAGGAAAAACAGGGGTATTGCTATCAAGAAAAGTAAAGTTCACGGTCAAAAATTTGAAATGAAAAAAGACATAACATTATGTAACAGACCACCTGGATTCATTCCTTGTGTTGTACAACATGTACGTTTGTCCATCAGCAGTCTACATTTTATCACGGAAGACATGATATTCGGAACAAGCTCTTAACTATTGAATCAACTGCGTTATGTAAACACCGTAGGTAGGAAAAGCAGGGGTGTACTATCAAGAAAAGTAAAGTTCACGGTCAAAAATTTGAAATGAAAAAAGGCATAAAATTATGTAAATACCAATTAATGATATCTCCCCTCTTTTATTCATTTAGATAACTATTGATCTCAAGAGAAGCATATGGTTTTCCAGAGACATACTGAACGTTGTGCGAGAAAATGCCCCCATACATGTGATGGTTGAAAATATTGTTTATATAACTCTCGTTAGTTGATTTTCAAATTGTAAAAGACATTCTGGAAACGTTATGTATTTATACAATTTAAATTTGAAATTAACTAACTAGAATTAGATGAACATGATAACCAATCATCACTCGTTGGGGAACCTCTATGTAATAATGCATAATGTGGTCTAAATAAGAGCGGCCTGTCGCTTTAAATATCGTTTACATGCTATTTTGGGTATCACATACTAGGATATCTAAGAAACGGTCATTATATAAGTCGTATGATAGCACAACTGACTAGAAAACCATAACATATTCTGATACCTATGAATTGAATTTTATCTTATACAAGCATCTTTAATACACAAATATTTAAATTAATGGATATCTACATGTCATTCTGGTGAAATGCACCAATTCGCCCTTAGCGGCTGGATGTTATTAAGGTCATCACGGCTTACCAGTAAACAGAAGCGAATTTAGCTATTTTGTTATTTTAATAGCACAACGTCGGAATCCGTTGGTGATAAGGACCAATATTAAACTTCCGCGCAGTCAAGTGATTCTAAATATAGCTAACGAATTGACACTTGATATGAAGACGAGACATTGTGATAGTGCTATACGCTTGTCAAGTAAGTGTGTTCTCTGCTGTAGGTATACAAACTATTGTTTAAATAAAAAGTTTCATCCAATGAATGTTAACTAACATAGTTATAGCATACATTCATTTCAGAGTTAATGGGAAACAGGTTTAGACGTTCTGTAAATTGTATAAAGAACGCCAAATCTATAAATATTTCAGATATTTTATACAAGTAATACTAATATTTTAGGGAAAATATTGATTTATCTTACTTTCTTACTTTATTTATTTATGTCAAGTATTAATTTATTTTTTACTGATTTGTTTATTTTATTTATTTATTTTGATTTATTTTATTTTTAAATAATGACGAAATTTGTTAAACAGTTTGTAATTCATTGACTAGCGAATTAATTAATTGGTTGATTAACTGATTCATTTTGGTTTTACTTCTTTTCAATAGCAAATAAGGTTAAAATTCTATAGATGTCTGGGCCGACTCACACTCTACACTCCATTTAAAGGGTCATCTAACTGAAACGTCACTACATGGATGCGACAGATGTATAACGTTGGGTTATACATAGGTGCCTATAAAGACAATACCGAAATAAGTTGATGAATAGGAAACAAAGAAAAACAAACAAACAATAATGTTTCCAAGTGTTACAAAGGGGTTAGCTAATGGTAACTGGTGTCCCCTATGTCCCCACATGAATGACACAGACGAAAATTCTTAATTCTAAAGGTGCTACAACATAAGTATCTTCTTACCATCATGCAGTGGGACACAGCAGGCATAATATTTCAAAATGTTCCGAACTTGCAAAGGTCAGGTAAAAATCCGTTTACATATAGACTCCGAAATTCTCAATAAATACAGCTGCTACCGTGCGTAATACATAGAGGATATTTAATGGTGTCTTCAGTAATACCGAATATATTTCACGAGTGTGGCTAATATTTTGATATTTTTTACGAGTGCTCAGCACGAGTGAAAAATATCAAAATATTAGCCGCACGAGTGAACTATATTTGGTATTACTAAAGACACCATTAAATTTTCTATTTATTGCATTTTTAAAGCATAAAACATGAAAAATGTAATGCATTGAAAAAGGGCGGGAATCAGAAGCGTAATAATAAGCGCAATATTCTAATGACGTCACGCTTGACAACAAGGCTGCGCGCCATTTTTAATGGGATACTCAACACAATTCCGACGTTTTCTACTATTTTCTGGTATGATTGCTTATAAAAATGTTATTAATTGTATATATGTAAATACTTAAGTGTGTGCACCAAACATTTACCATAACAACCACTTATCTATCGTCGCTTCATTTGAATCTGAACAAAAAAATCGCTGCCTTTGAATGCAGCGAATAGAAAAAACGTTATGATTGGTCAATACCAAAAAGTGATATTTTCACACTGTCAAAATATCACTTTTGATATTTGTCACAGTGTGAAAGATATCAGTTTTATCAAGTTGATAGAATCCGTTATTTCACTGGCATAATGTAATAAAAATACACATTTATAATAACAATTGTTATCTCTACCTGTACTTTGCCAATATTCAAATCGTAGACGCAGATCCATATGATTCTATATTATCATGTTTTCTTTAAATTGTATCTTTGTCACGTCGGCATTAAGTCAGATGTGGTCGGCCTAGATTTAAATAAAATGATAAGTTAAAGATACGAATAAATGTGCCAATATCACCCTTATTTGATCCATTAGCTTAACATCCGCTATAATATGTAACCCTTAAAGAGATAAGTAAATCTTTATTTCAAAGTCAAAGTGCACATGGTTTCCCATCCAGCTGTTTGTGATGTATTTTTGTTTTTTTAATTTTATTTCGTCCCATTTACAGCTGAAGTATTTTGAACCCAATTAAGTCCTGATCGAACTTATATGATGACGCTGTGGTATGTTATATTTTACCTCAGTTAACAATTATATCGTGATTGTTTACAAGTCAGATTGTGGCTTCGTTGTCACTAACCCTTTCTCAATTGGGGAGGTGTGATTATTAGATTTGATATAGATTTATATGGCAGGTGTATAATGATTCAGAAGACGTTTGCTCTTTAGGAACACCTGGACCTATTGCACGTCCACGCAATTTTTTCTTTTGTTTACATTCTGCCCTACTTTGATGTCTACTGATATTTGTTGTTTTGTTCACACACTGTTATCCTCTTGTTGCCTGGTTGTGTTTCAGTGGTTCTCTGTATAAACGAAATGCATAACATTTATTAACAATCAGTGCTTTATTATCGAAACTTATATTTACAACTCGATGAATTCTGATTACTGAACCTGGGATTTAGGCCATGAAAATGAAACACATTAACAAAAGACATTGGTATTTTTAACCGGTTTCTGCAGATTGCCAAATAGTGGAGTTAATATCATATTTGATGTAGTACGTTCTGATCTCATTATGTTAATTAGTATTGAAGCATGATATCAGGGACGGAGTATTCAATTGACCAGTTTTTACACAGAAAGATAAACGTGACTAGTATATTTTCTATTAAATCATTTTAAGTACGGTCGCAACTTCCAAAGCTTACCTCACAAATTGTTCTTTGTGTTGTTTTATTTTATATAACTTAGTAAAAGACAAACGATATAACCACTGATATTTTCTCTCAGATCGAGGAAAACCCTACGCAATTGATTTAA